TGAGGACATGGCCCTAATGGACAGAGTGAAAAACTTTTTTGTTTCAGCGCTGACCTACGCATTTTTATCACTTATTGAAAGGACCATAAAATGTGCTTTCGGCACTGATGTGCGCGAAGAGTAAGTGGCTGATAACGGCTTTTGACTTCAAGAGGAGGGTTTAAACATGGATTAGCTGAACTGCCTCAATGACGTCACAGTGTTGTCCTATTCATGACACAGCCATAATCTAGAAACCCAATAGGCCTAGATAGCCGAACGCGTACAGCACAGGCGTCAGCGGCTCAAGGGGTTCGTTGGGATCAAATCCCATCAGATTTTTTTATTATTTACGTGTTTCTGTTTTTTCTATCTAATCCATTTAACTTTTTTTTTCCAATTAACGCAAATATTTACATGATTTATTTACAACAATTTAATACCAACAAATAATTTGTACAACAATTAATTATTTTTTTTTTTAAAATAGGGTTCAGGTTAGGCGTCACAATGCACCATAAACAGGAGTTTCAGGGCACTCGATTTGTATCGACCAATGGGCATTTGGAAAGTAGCAAGACATGGCAGAAGGTTGCTGAATGATGTGTACCGGCAATGCGTATCTGCATAATATGCGCACACAAAGGTCGTCACTACGCCACGACTTAATTGTTTATGTTTACACCGATAGCAACACACTCAGAATAGCCCAGACGGCTCTGCGGCTCTTGTTATTGTATCTCCCCGCGACGAAGTCGGCGGGGTTACTCTGGTTCTCATGTCCTTCCCAGCCGCCCGCGCGCCCGTCGCAGACAATTTCCTTACCGTCTATAACTCGGCCGCCTATTGACCATAGTGCTTACCAAACTTGGTATAGTTAGCACATCTTTGGGGAAGAAGGTGTGTCGCGACCAAGACCAGGTCAGCTGCAACCTTTATTTGACATTGACCTTGATCTGACTGTTCATCATATTTCCCTTCTGCTCTATTAATGCGGCCCCATAATTGACCTAGCCGACAAACTTCGAATACTTACACATCTTGGGGAAGAAACACGGGAGGGGACAATGTAGTGGCGACAACTGGCCCTTTCTAGATTATTTATTGGTGTTTTAGTTTCCATATCAAAATTCATTTATAGTAAAGATATATTTGTTTTGGGGTTGAGTAAGCAGGTATTTTAAGTTTAAAATACAATATTTTAAGGGCATGCATTAGGAGAGTTCTAGAAGACAAAAGGCAAGAGCATAGTAAGCAAGACAATCGGAGTATAAAAAACCTCCACCAGAGCGGCAAGCAGTCCCGCCATCTTGCTGTTGTACAACCCCAATAAGAGTTTGATGAAAATTTTTCAAAAATTTTGTAGACAAAGGAGATCTCAGGATTTTTTGATGAATTTTGAATGCGTCCGAAGTCTTCCCGAAACCAAAAAATTAATCCTGGCTCCTGCCTAGATCTGGATCGGATCACCAACCAAAATCTAATCGATTGATCTTGGGCCAAGACGCCACCATCCAAAAAATTCACTCAAAATCCGTCTGTAACTTTTTGAGAATCCCGTTGACAGACAAAGCAAACCAACAAATAATACGCGAGATAGGCAAACCTCCACCACAGGCTTAACAGTCCGCCGCAATATCTATATATAGCTATCGATTAATTTGTAGCGCGGGTTTTAACGGGGGGACACATCCATAAAACCGCCTACAGAGAGAGAAAGCGAAACGAAGGCGAAGCGGTTAGAGAATAATACCGGGCTAACTACACCATATTGCATTAATGCCTTCAAAATATTCGCTGGATCCAGATCTGGGATCGGGCGGTTTAGCCACGCCAGATCTGGATCCGGTTTACCACCAAAATCTAATCGATTGATTCTTGGCCCAAGACCAACCCATCCAAAAAAATTCATCAAAATCCGTCTGTAACTTTTTGAGATATCCCGTTGACAGACAAACAAACGAACAGGAGCGAAAACAACCTCCTTGGCGGAGGTAAATTTTTACATTAGTGAGGTGAAGTGTGTAAATATTTGCATCCTTCCGCATTTCGTTGTTGTGATGTGTTTGTTTTTCGTTTCTGTTTGCAGCTGTCGGGTGAAAACCAGCAGCAAAGTAATGACGATGATTGGGATGATGACTGGGATGACGAGGACTCTCAGTATGTAAGTAATTGTTTTAGCAGGAAAGGAAAACTTACCACACTACAATTGAAAGCTTCCTCTTTGAGATTGTGTAAGACTACCATAAACTATTTTTCAGTGCCCAAATGAGTTTTTTACCTTACCTGTTAAAAATGTTTACTTGCCCGTAGAAATTTTGTTTGAATCTATATCTTGTGCAAACTAATGTAGTAGTAGCCCCGATCAACTTTTACCAGCAAAATATGAAGAGCTAATACCTATTTCAAGCCTTGTTATGTGGTAGTATATTCCTGAATTGCTATGTTATTTCAGCTAAATGTACAGTCTAGTGTGGCTAGAGTTAATAAGGGAAAACACGTGATTATAAGCGAGAAACTGGCTGGTGTCACACCGTGCGTGTATTCTTTCTCTTTCGGAAGTCGCCAAGTGGCACGCCTTCTAGCCACATGTATGGCTCTACATCTTATGACAGTATGCATATAGTAAGTAGTGCAGTGCAGTGCAGATGTATTAGTGTGAGTGACATTTGACTGCTGAGTATTGCCTGCCTGTGCTACTGATGAAATAAGCAAAATAAAATTGGTTAGGTGTGTCTGAGATAGTTAAAATCATGACAATATTAGCATTGCCAAAAACACAACAATGTTCATGAAAAAAGCAAGTAGCGATAGTTTAACACTTTAGTTGCCTAGGTCATTAAAGGGATACTTGACAATACAATGACCTAGGTTCCTTGCATATTTTCAGTTAAAATAGGCTTAATTTCTGCTACATAAAAAAAATCCATTTTTCAATATTAATTATAAATATTTTTTTTTAATTGTTTTAAAATTAACGGATGTATCGTTGCTTACATCGGCAGTGGTGCCACTACTAGCCCATCTGCTTTCGAAACTTGCTCATCGCAACTTTTTGGCTGCAGGCTACAAACTGAGGGTGTTTCTTATTTATTTATTTAGGAGGAGAAGGATTGCAATATCTTATAAACACATTTTAGATTCAGTTATAATATAAACGAATTTGTCCTAAAATAACAATTGTTTGGTTAAATAGCAGTTAGGTATGAATATAATTGCACTTTTGTGATTAGCTCTCGGTCTGTAACGTGCAAAATAAATCAGAAAAAACGCAACTTTGTCATGGTAGTCGCGGGGTGTCATGTCAGCAGCCACAAATGAAGATTTCGAAACTCACGGTTGTTTTATGACAAATGTGAATGCATGATTATAGAAAATTGTAGTAGGTATATCTATATCTATACTATAATTTGGCTAATCTTGTGTGTGTGTGTGTGTGTGTGTGTGTTTGTTTGTGTTCGCTTTTCGCCCTGATTTGTCACTCAATCGCGCTAACTGAAGATATATTCAGAATCACCACGTCTGGGAGATGGTTCTGGCTGAAATTTTTTTTTTTTAATGTTTAAGTATTAAGTATTAAGTCAAAAATTCGAAAAAATGCTATTCGTCAATAGATGGCAGTGCGTACAGCAGATCCACATCACATACGTGGGAATTACACTGCGTCTCTTGACTGCCGCCGTATATGGTTGGCCACAGTGGACAAAAATCAAGAATACATGACTACATATTATATGCCCGCATATAATCGACCAATGGGAAGCGAGGAATATATGCCCGCATATAATCGAATAGCTGCATTATATGCCCGCATATAATCGGAGCCAATCAAATCAAAGGAATTATGTCCACCATAAATAACTTCCGTCCAACGCGATTTGTATCAACCAATGGGATTTGGGAGGTATGCAGAATGCAGAAGGTTGCTGAAATGATGTGTACGCAACTGCGTATCTGCATATCTGCACCTAACAAAGATGTCACTACGCACGACTTAAATGTTACGTTTATAACCGTAGCAACAGACCTTAGATGAGCCCAGACGCTCTGCAGCTCTTGTTAGTGCGAGTCGCGGAACCCTCTATACAAAAATAGAAGCTCTGTAGGTAAAATTATGTGAATTATGCAGTATTGTTGCCTTTATATTGTAGCTTTTAAATGTGCTCATAGCCAGTTAGACAGCGTCTTGCAGTTCAAAGGAAACATTTACATATTTCGTTCGAATGACACATTCCATTTGTATGGAATGTGCCGTGTTCCTGCAATCAGTGTACTGCGTCCAATGTACTCCAGATACTAATTATTGCAGGGTATCACTGTATGTATTTGATTGTAAAAATAATAAAATGCTGTCAAAATTCTGCACATTTTTTTAAAAGTTTATTCTGGAACTGCAAGAAATAAATGTAAATTTGGTTTAATCAAGGCAATTATTTGTGTTGTGTACTTTACCCAGTGACATTGTTTATACGAAATCCATAGCTTTTGGGAGTACATGTGGAGTGCTTTTGCTAGCACAGAACCAATGGATGCATACTGGATAGCTTGGGCAAAACTTGGATCTGGTTATGAGTGTCCTAGGAGAATTAATTTTCATATTAATTATTGTAGTGTGGGAACGATGCCAGTCAGTTTGCTAGGTTGGCATGGTAAATTTCTTAGATATATATGCCTTTGTCATAAAAAAAATTACGTTGAAAAAATATGTGAGTTGGTGTGTGTCCAGTATATATCCACCGAACAGGAATGTGTATAACTATGCAGAATGCTGTGCTAATGTGGAAAAGTTTGATTGCCCTGGATGTGTTGTTACGTGCACATATTGTATGCTTACTTTCCCCCTACATGGGTCCTGCTTTATATACCTGTTTTGCCAAAGCAAAACTCATTAGCTAGTCATCTTACCATTCAGCCAAGGAAGTAATTGATAATGAACAAATATATTTAGGGCTACAGGGCAAATAAGGGCTACATATTTAGTAACTAGATGCACGTTAATACTGATTGTTGTATGTCTGTAGGATGTTGGTGAAGGATGGTGGGAAGGCAAAAAGATAAATGGAGAGGTGGGATTATTCCCACAGGCATATGTGGAAGTGGTAAGTACAGTGACAGTTTCTTTCCACAATACTACACATTGACTAGCTTTTTGCTGATGTAAAAATTTATTCCTAGACTATAATACAGTATGATACACAGATTGTAGCAATAACAATAATGTCTAAAATATTGTTACTCCTGTTTTATAGTAATTGTAAAAGGGAAGTATTTTAATCTCAGTATGTTTAACAGCAAATAAGTAAGCTCGGGCATTGAATGGTGGATAACCTCATTCCATTTCTGTAGTACAACATGTACACAACACTATTTATGCTTGATTGTAAACAGCTTGTTAGTTCACCTGTTTTATTACGAATAAACACAGGGTTGGATGTTGTTGCGTATGTTTTGTAATTTTTGCGTGAGTAATATAGCATCAATGGAATTACTTACGCACAGGTGCAAGAGAGTGGGCCACCAGAGATGCCTCCCCCACCACTACCATCAACATTTACTGATGGAAGACAGCCGGATTATAATACCCCAGATTCATATCAGGTACAGTTTTAATAAAACAATAATTTAATATGTTTTTGTGTGGTAGCACCAAATGAATGCTAACAGGGACTTCACTTAATAAAAAAAAAATAAAACTTGGGAGCAAGAATGCAAATTAAAAACCTGATAATAGTTCCTGACAGTACTGGTATTTTTTTTCACTATTACAAAACTTACTGGTAATTACAAAGATACGTGCATCAAATATTACAACATGCAACTACTAACCCAAACTAAGTGAGAAAAACATATAGGTAATACATTTGGTTAGCGAAATCTACTTGCAAGTACGTCATAACATGTCCCCATTGGGATATCTTACGGCAATAGGATAATTAGCACGTAGTGTTTCAAAATAAGGATTAGTACCCCCACCACATAATTTATAATCCTAATGCTTAAATAGTAATATTTTTGAACACAAACCTGGGTCATGAACCATGATCTTGAATCACGGTAGTTAGACATAATTATCATTTATCATTACTATTATTATTATTATTATTATTATTAGCACATCTGACGTAGTCAGATACAGTTTGTAGAATCGCATGATCGTGCGTGCGTCCTTGCGTCCGTGCGTCCGTCAACAGTTGTGCACAAATCTTAACCGCTCGACGTACGGTCACGATATTTGGGACGTCGTGGGGGGGATCGTGAAAAGGACTCAGGATGACAAATTTGGGGGTCAAGGGTCAAAGGTCAAGATGTGTAAACGGAGGGGGAATATTTCCTCCTTAACTTAAGGTATAGGAGGAAATAGGAAATTGCGGCACAAATCTTAACGGCTCGATCTATGCTCTTAATATTAGGTGTATAGTGTGATAGGCAGGAAACCCATCACCAGTGCGAAATTGGAGGTCACAGGTCAAACGGCAGTGGGGGAAAGGTCAGATATCAGACATTTTCTGAGGACATGGCCTAATGGACAGAGTGAAAAACTTTTTTGTTTCAGCGCTGACCTACCATTTTTATCACTTTATTGAAAGGACCATAAAATGTGCTTTCCACTGATGTGCGAAGAGTAAGTGGCTGATAACCTTTTGACCTTCAAGAGGAGGGTTAAACATGGATTACTGAACTGCCTCAATGACGTCACAGTGTTGTCATATTCATGACACAGCCATAATCTAGAAACCCAATAAGCCTAGATAGCCGAACGCGTACAGCACAGGCGTCACGGCTCAAAGGTCGTTGGATCAAATCCCATCAGATTTTTTATTATTTACCTGTTTTCTGTATTTTTCTATCTATATCCATTTAACTTTTTTTTTCCAATTAACGCAAATATTTACATGATTTATTTACAACAATTTAATAACAACAAATAATTTGTACAACAATTAATTATTATTTTTTTAAATAGGGTTAGGGTTAGGGTCACAATGCACCATAAAACAGGAGTTTCAGGCACGCGATTTGTATCAACCAATGGGATTTGGGAAGTATGCAGAATGCAGAAGGTTGCTGAAATGATGTGTACGCAACTGCGTATCTGCATATCTGCGCCTAACAAAGGTGTCACTACGCACGACTTAATTGTTATGTTTACAACCGTAGCAACACACCTCAGATGAGCCCAGACGCTCTGCGGCTCTTGTTATTGTATCCCCCGCGACGAAGTCGGCGGGGTTACTCTGGTTTCATGTCTCCCCAGCCGCCGCCGCCGCCGCAGACAATTTTCCTTCCGCTCTATAACTCGGCCCCTAATTGACCTAGTGCTACCAAACTTGGTATAGTTACACATCTTGGGGAGAAGGTGTGTCGCATACCAAAACCAGGTCACTGCAACCTTTATTTGACATTGACCTTGATCTTGACCTTCATCATATTTCCCTTCTGCTCTATAACTCGGCCCCTAATTGACCTAGCGCGACCAAACTTCGAATACTTACACATCTTGGGGAGAACACGGGGGACATGTAGTTGGCGACAACTGCCCTTTCTAGTTATTATTGGTGTTTATGTTCCATATCATTCATTTATAGTAAGATATTTTGTTTGGGGTTTGAGTAGCAGTTATTTTAAGTTTAAATACAATATTTTAAGGCAATCATTAGGAGAGTTCTAGAAGACAAAAGCAAGAGCATGTAACAAGAGCAATCGGAGATAACAAACCTCCACCAGAGCGCAACAGTCCCCCCATCTTGCTGGTACACCCAATATAGAGTTTGATGAAATTTTCAAAAATTTGTAAAAAAGAGATCCAGGATTTTTTGATGAATTTTGAATGCGTCCGAAGTCTTCCCCACAAAAAATAATCCTGGCTCCCTAGATCTGGATCCGGATCACCACCAAAATCTAATCGATTGATTCTTGGCCCAAGACCAACCCATCCAAAAAAATTCATCAAAATCCGTCTGTAACTTTTTGAGATATCCCGTTGACAGACAAACAAACCAACAAATAATCCGAGATAGCAAACCTCCACCACAGCTTAACAGTCCCCCAAATCTAATATAGCTATCGATAATTGTAGCGCGGGTTTTAACTGGGGGTGACACATCCATATAACCGCCTACAGAGAGAGAAAAGCGAAACGAAGGCGAGCGGTTAGACGAATAATACGGCTAACTACACCATATGCATTGAAAATCCTTCAAAATATTCGCTCGATCCAGATCTGGATCGCGGTTTACCGACCACGCAAAAAATCTCCAATCGATTGATCGTTGCCCAAGACCAACGCCATCCAAAAAAATTCATCAAAAATCCGTCTGTAACTTTTTGAGATATCCCGTTGACAGACAAACAAACGAACCAGGAGCGAAAACGAACCTCTCCTTGGCGAGTAATTTTACATTAGTGAGGTGAAGTGTGTTAAAATCTTTGCATGCTCTTCGCGCCGATTTCGTTGTTGGTGGATGTGTTTGCTTTTTTCCGTTTCTCTGTTTGCAGGCTGTCGGTCGAGAAACCAGCAGCGAAAGTAATGACTGATGATTGGGATGAGACTCGGGATGACGAGGACACTCCATCAAGTAAACTGTAAGTAATTTGTTGTTAGGGCAGGAAATGGGAAAACGCTACCACACTACAATTGAACAGCTTCCCTTGAGATCTGGTAAGGACTACTAAACTAGTTTTTCACGCTGCCACAATGAGTTTTTTTAACTACCTGTTAAGAATGTTTACTGCGCCGTAGAAATTTTGTTTTGAATCTATATCTTGTGCAAAACTTAATGTAGTAGTAGCCACCATCAACTTTTACCCAGCAAAAATATGAAGGCTAATACCTATTCAAAAAAGCCTTGTTATGTGTAGTATATTCCTGAATTGCTATGTTATTTCAGCTAAATGTACAGTCTAGTGTGGCTAGAGTTTAAATAAGGGAAACACGTGATTATCAAGCGAGAAACGCTGCTGGTTCAACACCGCTCGCGTGTATGTCGTTTCTCTTTCGGAGTCGGCCAATGTGCAGCCGCCTTCCTAGGCCACTGTATGAGGCTCTACATTCTTATGACAGTAATGCAATAGTAAGTAGTGCAGTGCAGTGCAGATGTATAGTGTGAGTGACATTTGACTGCTGAGTATTGCGCGTGCCTGTGGCTACTGATGAAATAAGCAAAAATAAAAGATTGGTTAGGTGTGTCCTGAGATAGTAAAATCATGACAATATTAGCAAAATTGCGCAAAAACACAACCCATGTATCTTCGAAAAAAGCAAGTACAGCGATACAGTTTTAACGACTTTAGTTGGCATATGGTCTTAAAGGAATACTTGACAATACAATGACTAGGTTCCTTGCATATTTTCAGTTAAAATAGGCTTAATTTCTGGCTACATAAAAAAAATCCATTTTTGCCAATATTAATTATAAAATATTTTTTTTTAAATTGGTTTTTAAAATTAACGATGTATCGTGCTTACATCGGCAGTCGGTGCACTAACTAGCCCTCTGCTTTCGAAACCTGCTTCATCCGCAACTTTTGCGTGCCGGCTACAAAACTGAGGGTTGTTTCTGTATTTAATTTATTTAGGAGGGAGAAGGATTGCAATATCTTATAAACACATTTTAGATTCAGTTTATAATATAAACAGCAGGAATTTTGTCGCAACTGAAAAAAAAAAAAATAACAATTGTTTGGGTTAAATAGCAGTTAGGTAGAATATAATTGGGGCACTTTTGTGATTAGCTCTCGGTCTGTAACGTGCAAATAATCAGAAAAAACGCAACTTCTTGTCCCATGGTAGTCGCGGGGTGTCGATGGTCAGAGCAGCAAAATGAAGATTTCGAAACTCGACGTTGTTTTATGACAAATGTGAATGCATGATTTATAGAAAAATTTGTAGTAGGTAATATCTATTCTATATACTTAATTTGGCTAGTACCTTGTGTGTTGTGTGTGGTTGTGTGGTGTGTTGTTTGTGTTCGTCGGCTTTTCGCTCCTGAATTTGTCACTCCAATGCGCGCTAAACTGAAGATAATATTCAGAATCACCACGTCTGGGAGATGGTTTTCTGGCTGAAAATTTTTTTTTTAAATGTTTAAGTATTAAAGTATTAAGTTCAAAAATTCGGAAAAATGCTATTCGTGTCAATAGATGGCAGTGCGTACAGGCAGATCGCACATTACAACATACGTGGGAATGTACACCTGGCGCTCCTCGCTTATGCCGCGCGGTATATGTTGGCGCCAGTGGACAAAAATGAAGAATACATGACTTACATATTATATGGCCCGCCATTATAATCGACCCATTGGGAAGCGATGGAATATATGCCGCGCATATATCGAATAGCTTGCATTATATGCCCGCATGATAATCGGAGCGCAAATCAAACAAAGGAATTAGGGTCCCACCGCCATAAATAACTTCCGTCCCCCGTGTTTGAGCCCACTTTCCGTCCCAAAAATCAAAAAGGAATTTGTCCCCATAACATAACGTTCCGTCCCCTTTATCACTTCGTCTATGGTTTGGCCACGGTGGATGGCAAAATCAAGAATGACATGACTACATATATATGGCCCGCATATAATCGTACACAATGGGAAGGCGAGGAATATATGCCCGCATATAATCGGAATAGGCTGCATATATATGGCCCGATATTTTTGTTGATCCAAAAATAAAAAAAAAAAAAAAATTTTATATCGGGAGCAATCAATCAAAGGAAATTATGTCCACCATAAATAACTTCCGTCCGTCCGTTTTGACCACTTCCGTCCCGAAAAATAAAGGAGTTATGTCCACGATAAATACTTCGGCGTCCCCGTGGTTTTAACTTCCGTCTAATGGTTGGGCCAGCGTGGACAAAAATCAAGAAATAAGCACTAACATATTATACTGCGCCGCATATAATCGACCAATGGGAAGCGAGGATATATGCCGCGCGTATAATCGAATAGCTTGGCATTATACTTCCCGGCAATATAATCGGCAGCCAATCAAAATCAAGGAATTATGTCGCACCATAGTAATAACTCGTCGGCCCGTTTTGACGCGCACTTCCGTCCCAAAAATCAAAGGAATTATGTCCCG